GTTAAATATGAGAAGGAATAACTTGGATGTATTAAAATATTTCTTCCAATGTCAAACAAATTATTTGTAATGCATTGTGACTAAGATTTTTTTTCTGCTTTTCAGAATATTTCAGGTTTTCAAACTGAAGCCAAACTTGTTGGACTGAATCCAGTCAGCACCTACTCTATCAGCGTATCTGCCTTTACCAAAGTTGGAAATGGCAATCAGTTTAGTAACATAGTAAAATTCACAACCCAAGAATCAGGTTAGACACAGTTTTTGAGTCTAAAATATTTCATTTATACTTAACACATTTCCTTTCCTTTTCTCTGTTTATGTGATAAAGTATCATTATTATTAAATAATGGACCATTAAGTCCACTCAAAAATAAGTTGAATTTCAGTGCTTTAAGGTTATGTTGGGTCCTGTCTGAAATCATATACTGTATGTGTGTTTCTACAGATATATTTACATGTGGTTTTTCTTTTTGAACTGAGGAAGTTGAAATAAAAGACTGGTTTCAGAACAAAGTAGCCTTCTAGATATCTGTGAAAATTACTTAATTCTTAGGACTATTTGAGATATCTGGGGGAAAAATGGGAAATAAACTAGCTATCGCTTTTAACTGGTTGATTTATATATGAAGCAATACCTATAATTTTCTTTAGGAAAATGAGTTGTGACATTTGAAAATGATGAGTCATTGCATAAGCCCTCTACTTGCCCACGGTCCCATGTTGAACATGTGGAGGGCACTGTGAAATGTCATTGGCCTAATTCACCAGCAGCTTACCTACTGCGGCTCCAACGTTCACGTACCGTATCTTGCCTTTGTGTGCACACCGAGTAGTTCTTTTTATGACATATTTAATAGTGGCTTAGAAATGTACTTTTCCTTCTCTTAACTGGGCCAATCATTTTAAGACACTTCTTCCTTATTTATTTTTTCTTTTTGTCAATGGTTATTCAATGAGCAGAAGATCCTGTTCTAGTCATTTCTTCTTAGCCCCCCTGGATGCACTTCCTATTGTTTTAGTGAATTTCTAAATTGAGATTAGAGACTGCTCATTGCTAAATTAGTCATTTTTGCATATCTGTAGTTTTTTTTTTTTCATTGTGTGGCTATAAGAAAGACTAAGTAAATAGAATTTATAATGCATAAAAGTACATACTGTGAAGTCAGTGTCTACCGTTGAATCTGAGCTCCTTGACTTACTATTAATAGTTGTATAACCTTGGAAAAGGCCCATGACTCCTCTAAGCCTCTATATCCTTATCTGAAAAAAAGCACACAACAGCAGCCATCTCATAAGGCTGTCGTAAAACATATTTGAAAAGGCCCATATGAAGCACTTAGTAGAGTGTTGTATACACAGTAAATGCTCCATAAATATTTCTGTTGCCACCATTCCCATGTTACAGATGAAGAAGCTATGACTCAGGTAGATTAGATGAAAAGGACCTTGAGAAAATTAATGAAAAACTTGACTAGAACATCAACCTTCTGACTTCTAGTGAGGAGTGGACATAGCTGTAGAAAAGGCATGTTGCAAATGGTGATAGTATATAGAAATGTTTAACCTGTAAAGAAAAAACATTTTAAAGATATTTATATACGAAGGTAATAAAAATCAAGGCTAATCTTGTCAAAAGTGCTCTGTAAACCAATAAATATTTTTATCAGTAAGATAAAGTTATGCTATAAAATTTTATGTTCTGATTGTTTAAATAAAGAAAATTTTCATCTATAAGTGTTATAATATCACTGATTAATTATTTGTTTGGAGGTTCACAGAGTTAGTGAAATAGATGTCCATAAATCCAGGTTCATAAACTAAACTTAAGCAAATTATCCACTGCCTTGTGTTAATATATTTTATGAAAATATTGTTGTATGTTTTTGAAAATAAGGAAGTGAATAGTGATGTTTAATTGTCAGAGCCCTTGATCAGCCCATAAATTATTTTTTCTTTAACTTTATATGTTTATTAAGTATTCTTCATTAGTCGATGCCTTTATTTTAAGAAGAAGAGAGGTTTGCAAGAGATCAGTTTAGACCAAGGGAGAGTATTACAGGCAAGTTAGAGATTACCTGAGTATATTTTGAGTCACTATGTTTTGTGTAATGGTAGTAAATTACTTTCTTTCGATGTTCATTATTTGTAATCCGTGAATTGACTACATGTCAATTTTCTCCTACCATTATCTTTTTACTGGGTCAAGAAAAGTTATCCTGTTATACTAACATTAGAGGACACTGGATAATTGGACATTTCTGTGGGAAGTAACCAGTCCCTCTAATGTACAGTCACGTTGATGGGCTAGGATATTGCTCTTCAACCAGGTCTACAAGATATAGTGGACCTCTGAAAAATTCTATTACTTTCAAGTAAATTCAGAGAAATTATAGAATAAAAAAAAGTAGGAGTCTTTCCTCTAATGACTTCTAAAAAGCTACTGAAGGAGGAGGTCTTCTAAATTCTTCCAAAGCAGACATCCCAGTATAAAAGCAGGACCTCTGAATTGGTTACTGTGAAGCCTGGATATACCACACTAGGGAGGCACCTACATGTGCGTTTTGCATGAAATGGTTCCACAGTTGCTTCTAAGGAATTTTGAGGATGAGTTTGGTGCTTGGACCTAGGAAAGTATTTAGTGACTGGTTCAATATTGTAAGGATTAATGAGATCGCATAAAAAATGGGCCCACAGCCATTTGATTCAGTGTATGTTAAGAACTTTTTAAGCACACATTGAAAAGTTGATATATTAAATTTTTATTCTGTCTATACTCTTAAACATGATTTTATTTACCACATTATTCAATCACTTATCTGCTACATATGTATACATTTTAACTTTGGGCCTATGTTTATCTCTTAAGTTCCAGATGTTGTGCAGAATATACAATGTGTGGCAACTAGCTGGCAGTCAGTTTTAGTGAAATGGAATTCACCCAAAAAGGCAAATGGAATAATTACACATTATATGATAACAGTTGAAAGGAATTCTACAAAAGTCTCTCCCCAGGATCACATGTATACTTTCACAAAACTTCTTGCCAATACCTCGTATGTCTTTAAAGTAAGAGCTTCGACCTCAGCTGGTGAAGGTGATGAAAGCACATGCCATGTCAGCACACTGCCTGAAACAGGTAACTAATGTGAAACCAGTAACTAACCTGAAACAGGTAACTACCACGAAACATTGAACTAATTGTGGATTGTGTCATACATTTGTCAAAACAATTAGTAATCTTTATAGCACATTTATCTAAAGATCTAAAACACACATTAAAAAATACAACACATGCTTTTTTTTATCTCCTGTATTATCTGGTACCAGCTGTGATTTTTTTCCACAGTATTGGGAGGGGGAAAAAAGGAGGGAAAATCTGCTTTACTGTGTTTCTACAAATATAAACCCCAACTTATCGAATTTTCTTTTATCATAATTTAAAAGAAGGAGTGAAAGTGTAAACT